ATCCGTTCCGAGTCGGTATGAGTAGCTGCTCTCATGTCGGATGGAAAGCACCTTGCATTTACTGATGTTGAAATGCAATAAGTTTTGGGTCGACCATTGATACATCGTATCTAAATCACTCTGAAGCACATGTTGGTCGGTGTTCGCCTAGATCCTGCGCCAGATCTTGATATCGTCGGCAAACATTAGAAAGTTTGAAGTGATTCCCTGTGCCAGGTCATTAATAAACACCAAAAACAAACGTGGACCTAAAACCGAACCTTGCGGCACACCACACGCCACTTGTATGGGGTCCGATAAAGAGCTCCGAACTCTGACCACTAATTGCCGTTGAAATAGAAAGTTGGCGATCCAGCTTAAAAGAGGGTCGCCGATCCCGTAATGCTGCAGCTTGGATAGTAGTATCCGATGGTCAAGACGATCGAAAGCCTTGGAAAAATCCAGGTAGATCACATCAACACCTTCTCCAGCGTCGGCTGCCTCGGTCCAACTACTGAGTGCGATTAGTAAATTAGTTGTACATGACCGCTGTCGACGGAAACCGTGCTGTTCAAAAGTGATGAGGTTGCAGTTCTCCAGATAGCACACCAGTGCATCGGCGACTATGATTCCATGACCTTGGAGAGTATAGGAAGAAGGGTTACTGGGCGGTAGTTGGAGGGATCAGTTCTGCTTCCACCTTTGTGAATCGGGCTTATTATTCCAAGCTTCCACATGGCGGGAACTTGGTTCTGGTCCAAGCAGTACTGGAAAAACTGAGCTAAAGGTCCTGCCAGTTGGTTTGCTGCTGCTCCCAATGCCTCTGAACAAATGGTGTCGACACCGGGCGAGCTGTGTTTGCGTAGAGGTATCAGCTTATGCAATACAGCCTCTGAGGTAAAATTGATGTGGGTTAGTCCTGGTGAGCAGAATAAAAAGCTTGGTAGATCGCTTGGTGGCAAGACTCCTTGAAACGTGGGGGCGTATTGCATCTGCCGCGCGTTTGCAGCTTCTATAGACGTTCTTTTTGGGCCATCAGCCGTCTTGAGTGGAGGAAATCCTTGCCTCACCTTTCGTAGGCTATTAACGTGCTTGTACAGCAGTTTGTGGTTAGCAATGAAGGTTTTTGCGATGTTCTGTTGATAGGCGGCTTTGTCTTCTCTTAACAGTTGAATGCAGTGGTTATGTTGGGCTACGTAGTTGTAACAAGTTTCTGGTGCTGGAGATTCTCTGTACACTCGCCATGCTGTGTTGCATACTGTCATCCACTTTTGGGTTCTGCTCCTAACGAAAGAAACGGATTTGCACTTATTGCAAGCTTTTATCTCTGAAGCCTGTGCAATCAGCTGACTGAATGTGTTGACGAACTCGAGCCAGGCGACTTCCGGGGGTTCTTCTTCAAGGAAAGACCATGTTGTGGCGCTGACTAGCTGGGCGAGTCGGTCATACCTTGTGATGGTTCGCACAGTATCATCGTTATCATTCAGATATTCTGCATAGCAGACGAAGTTGAAACTGATGACTGCGTGATCACTGCGACCCAACGGGCAGTCTAAAACCAACGCATCAATCATATGCTCCTCGTTGGTAAGCACAAGATCCAGCACAGATGGCCAGTTACCAGTTCTGAATGGAGTGGGCGAAGTGATGTGGTTGTAAAGAGGAACAGTAGTTACTAGATCTTGTAAATCGGTTTTGAATTGTTCTCCGATCCACAGACACCGTTCGCCTAGTGCACTTTAATATTCGCATCTACTTACATTGTGCTACTTGGCATGGTGCCGTTACCCGACTCAGTGAGCTGGTTGAGGCTGTGTACTTAACGACTTTGGTAGGTTGCGTACACCAGGCAGATGAGCGATGTGGTTAAAAAGGTCAAGTGAAGGCAGACTAGCGGGCAATGTGGCTGTGCTGTCGATGTGATGGATCACGCCAGCGTATTGGTTGACAAGGTCACAATGGGCGGTGACTGGCTTTGGATTATCGAAGAATTTCAAATGAAAGCTGGGTGAGAAACAACGTACTACGAAATGCGAGGTAGCAACTGCAAATGCCATTGGAAAAGAACGAATTTCGGTTGGCTTGATCGCCTCAAAAAGGAGCTTTCGAACGAGTGTTAAAAAATGCACGAAGGCCTTGGTAGCCGGAATATTGTACTCTTGAGTTGCAGCGAAAATTCCGTCACAAAACAGATGTGAATCAGACGTTGAAACTATAAGCATAAATCGGGAAAGAAGTATGCTCTTTGTAGAGCTGATACGTCCGAGTCGAACGAATGCAAACACCGTGGTGTGCAGCAAATCGGTGTCGTACGGTCTACAAAAGGGTAAGAGTATGGAATAAGCGGGACTTCGTGACAAGATGGCTAACGATCATGCGCCTTTTGAGATGAGGAACACTGTGAATACAACTTGTCGTTCAGCATCATAATAAAGGAAATATTTGCCACTGTTTTGTGATGTCGTCCGGGAAAACCCCAATCGGGTTGTGTTGGTAATGTCCATATTGGGGGATATTCGCATTTTGGATAATCTAGGCGGTGGTTCTCGTACGTGTATAATGAGATACTTGGGGGAAGTACCATATATTACCGAATATAAGCCCGTCCATGGACAGCCCGATAGTATGTTTTTACAATACCAAGTTTGTCCACAGTCTTAAGCGCCTATATTAGCCGACTTAAAAAATGTTACCGATAAGTGCTGTTCTGTCAATGTTTCGCACGTAATGGAGTGTGATAGTGTGGATTCTGTATATTCAAGTTAGTTTCTATTACTACCATCTGGCGCTAACGTCCCATGTGCAATATACCGAGAGTTTTCGCCACAAAAATAACGTGCATAGTTATAGGCACGATGCGCCCAGTGTTGCACAGACACCGTACGAAAAAATGAGATTTCAAATCCTCACCTGGAATTCCGTCCGTCACGAGCGGATGATGCTAAGGGGAGACAGGGAGAAGTGTGCGGTGAATACTTAGGTGAATTCTACACCTGAATTGTTTCAAATTGCACGTAGCCCTTTAATAAGCCAACCCATTAATAATCACAAGAATAATGGTCAAAAAATCATCGGCTTATATTCGGCAATAAACGGTATTAGTTCTGATGAGACGGCGACTGCTGCTCTACAGCATCCGGTCCGCTAGTGCAATAAATAATAAAGCCCAGCAACTATTCCGGAGTCAAGGCATCCCACTTAGTTGTGCCAAGGACAATTATGACTAGTGGAAAGTCAGTGGATAAGCTATTTACCTATTTTATGACCGAAGCAAGCTGTTGTTGAAATGGATGCTGTTAGATTTAGGGGCGTGAGAGCAATAGGACACGTGACGCTGACCGCAAACAAGTCCCCAGAAGTAGTCACCTCACAGGTCCCCGCATGCCGTTTTCACCGGGCAAAAGCTCGTAAGGCATACATGGCCATCAGCAGCCGGAAGGATGAGAAAGAAAAACGCAGCCGAAACATTGGCTTGGTTAGTCAGTAGATCTCTGCACATATGGAAGACTGGTCATCGCGTTGGTCACAAAGTAGGATTGGGTCTGACGCAAGCGCCCGCCACTTGCTGGTTATCTTTAGGACTGAAGCCGCTTAGGGTGGAATTAAATCGATGGGAAAGTAGCAACAATGATGAAGATATAGACTAGGGTGCTCGGGAAATGAGAGCAATTACTCAGCTTGTTGCATAGGCGTTAGAGACGTGGGTCTTGCGTCTACCCAAATGACGGACGAACATGTGGGATATCATGTTGCGAAAAGCTGGTGATTCGCAGGTGATTTCTGTCCTGATTTAAGAGTCTTCCCCTTTTGGCTGCACTACCAACTTGCTTACAACGGCTGTAGATTCTTAGTTTACACGAACTTGGTCCACACCCAGTCGGACAAACCGTGAGGGCCCAAGAAGTGCGAACGATGTTTTTATTCATAGCAATGAGCACCCACCATATGCAGATCAGGTCAAGAACAGTTCCAAGCATCTGCGAACGTCTTCCTTGGATGATGCGTCGCACACTCTGGTTCGAAGCCCAATTGAGCGTCGCTTCGGCATTTATTCACAGCGCACATCCACATGCGGCTTCCAAGCATTTTTCTTATATTAAGACGTCGGCTTGTTCCATTAGTGATACGTTACCGTCCGGTTTGGTTAGTATCCATATACTAATGACATCGCGCAGTAGAACCTAATATTGATTTACCAGAAAATCACTAATTATCCATCTAACAAATGCAGTTATCAATATCACTATCGACTAGCACTTGCGATACTCGATTGGTCAGTTGTCTTTGGCTTCTGCGCCTGCTTTTTTCGAGTGTCTTGCTAACTTCCATCGCGTTATTATGTGCAACAAGGATGACTTATCTTCTGGCGCCGACAGGGATTTCTGGAGAGCATGGTGTGGGATGGTTGCACGAACTTGGAAACGTCTTAAAAACTGTCCTTAGATATGAACCCTTGCGTAAATTAATACTATAGTAAGCAACGAAAACAAAAGGAGCAATAATAAACAATAATTTTATGGGGATTGGAAGATGTTGAAGTTGCTGAGCTGAAGGCCACTGGTCTTAAGTGACGAGTTAGATGGAAGAACAGCAGTACACCAGTATGTTGCAAAGATGATCCGAATCTATAGAAGGTGAGATGGGACACTGTAAGGCAGGCTAAGTTTATGCAAGAGCGGTGACTAGAACCTATAGCATGGAGATCGTAAGTCAGATGACTGAACCACTACAATAACACTATCAACGGTAGAACATGAATTTGGACTGATGATTCGCTGTTGTGCCATCATAATAACCCATGGAATGGGGATAATAAAAGAAGGAAGGGATCCCAAGGTAAAACCTGAATGCCCTAAACGTACAGGAGCAAAGCGTCTGCACCCTGTCAACAATCACTGAATCATAAGTTTCTGATACTCAATCGTGCCACGTCGGGTATGGTTTATAACAGTGATAATTATCAAAGCACGCTAAAGTGCTACCTAGCACACTCGTCATCTCATCACGAAAGCTCAACTATTATGGAAGTTTGGGACTGAGTTGGTCACTATATTTCACTATTACGCGTAGTTGTCGGTTGTGCGACTACGGAACTGTAGCGTGACAGTTTCTAATGACCCCAAGAACATTCGATCTCGCTTACACCAAGTCAAATACGGCGACGAAGTAATGCGCGACAGCGATTTAGAATGATGAATTGAAAACTAAGTGATCCGAGGTAATTGGATGAGTCGGATACGTTAATTGTCCCGAGCAAATAAGCTACCATTGAACTCCCGATGGCAGTTAGTGCTAGACTGTGGAGGAAATCGCGCCGCTCGGGACCGCAAGTATACGCCTTCAGGTGCCCATTCATTTTCCAGTGAAACAAATGCTGAAACATGGACTAGTTACAATGATGAACAATAATATCACCAAAAATTAGGGCCTGTATTGATCATCCCAAAGGAACGTATCGCACCGAGCAGCTGGGTTGTTTTTGGCACCTTGAGGCCGCGCACAGACCCAAAATCGTCTGCCACGTCGACTGCCTGATGCAGTTGAAGATTGTTTCACAGTACGGAGTAGACAAGGTTCCATATGGCCTCGGCAAAGCGGAGCCTTCTTCGGACCACAAAGTAGACTTTGCCACGCACTGACTGTCTTGGAAGCCATTTCGGCGTCAGCCTGAAACGTAATTTGAAGCAAGGCTGTGGCCTCCCGTTCCCTTATGCCATCGAGGATAAGACTTGATGGTGTACTGTCTGGATTGTCAATATCACGATTTTCATGCTTTCGACACGACACTATTCAAAAGAAAGAGTTTATCAATGAACGATCTACTTCATTGACTTCATCGCTTAATGAACGAATAATAGAACGAGACGTATGGAAAAAAAACGTTAAAGAGGAAACTCGGCTTGGTCTATCGAGTCTGGCACCAAAGTGCAATGAACTGGTTTGCCAAATCTCACCTCATCAAGGTCTGGAGTTTGTTGTACAAGAAAAGTAAAATATTCATCTCTAACACATAGGCCTTCAGCAATGCAGCATAATATAAATGCGACTCAAAAAGGTGGGTAAACGGATGGAAAACATACAACAAGGTGTAAAGTGGCTGGTCAATTCCCAGACAACTATTATAGTTGAGCAAAAGTCACGCCAAATGAGGAGTAACTGATCAACGTTAGCTCGTGTTCGGGCATATATGGACTAGTACTTCCTCCAGATTGACGGGGTCGACACAAATTCTGATAATGCGCAATGAAGGTGACTATCCAGCGTAAGTATCGTTGACGCTAGACTCTTAAAGGAACTGCAGTATGTGAACACCAGTATATCAACAAAGTTAGTTTTGGTACACTGTTGCATTGCGACAAGCGTGTGGCCTACAGATTAATCTGAAATGCTTACTTAGTAGACCAGAGAAATCATTGGAGAGCGGGACGTCCAGTGTGGAAAAACACAAGCAACGACAGAAGTAAACGCCAAATCATGGAGGATAGAGAAAACTCGCAGATTTTGGGAGACGTAGAACGACTTTTGCGAAGGTTTCGTTAAGTTGATGTGATCAGAACAAATCGTGCTTAAGCGTGACACCCAGGTACTTCACGGAGGAGCGCAACCTCTCGACACTGACGTGGAGTTCCGGGCACTGTTTAAGCTGTCGATACTGATCTCCTATGTGCGGTGAAAAAACGACATTATCGCACTTTAAAATATTAAGTGACAGCTCGTAGGAGATCGCTAAAAATATCCATTAATCTGACTGAAGAGACGACGGTCGATTGATTGATGTCCAAGACTATCATCTGCGTACTCTAGTAGGGTCGCCTCTTCAGGGAGTGGTATTGAGTTGATATATTTAGAAGTTGTAAATGATGATAGAATAGCTCCCTGACGAACCCCGGTGTCTGTGATTAGGGGCGAGGAGCTTCTGCCTGAAAGCCGTGTAACCTAAGTACAACATGTAAAATAACCCCACAACAAAAGGACGATGTAAGGATGTATTCTAGCATCGAGTAGTCCTTTTAATAGCAATTCGCGGTTTACGCCACCGAATGCGTTGCCGTAGTCCAGAAAACAGATTCGAGTGGACTTGAATCTATGAGTCCAGCGATGACAGAACGGGATGCACAAAGTAGGCCACTGTGCTTTGAACTGACCTCGAACTGCAACAAATTGAGCAGAGCTATTCGAGCACTTTTGCGTTTTATCTAAAATATCTTTTCTAACACCTTTAACGGTACTGTAGTACAAGCAATTGGTCGGTATTTGCTTGATTCCTCCATTGGAATTGGTTTAATACCGGCACTTCATAAGAAGTCAACAAGTTGATGTTGTGGAATGCACAAGGTAGCTAGTGGTATGGCCAAGAAGTCAGCACATTACTCGAGGACGACTGAAGATAGTCTATCTGTATCGCTCGCTTTTCTTGAGTGTAGCCGCTTCAGTAACCAGTGCACATTGCCGCTGTGGGCAGAGGATGCTTGGTCTGCAAACAACTTAGGCTAGGCAAGGGATAAGTCAAACATCGGAGAGTTGTGGAAGCTACAGAAGTCATAGTCATTTTTCCACATCTGGTTCAGAGGTTGGTGTACGTCGAGTAACCCCGCTTAGTTGCTTCGACATCCCTAAGAGTTCACGAAAGGTACTATCCCTGAGTATTACCTGAACATAAAGTTTGTTGAGACGGCGTAACTTCTCCTTAATAATGACAAAGAGAAACCTTAATGAGGTGCTATCTTTTCCTCGGAACGCTTTTTCCTTTATTCTATGAGAAGAAAATCAGTCTGTATAGATGGATAGCAAATTTCAAAACAGGAATTCAGATAGCCTGTCAATTAATAGCAACAGGTGGATACATTAGCGTAAAAAACAAAGTTGGTGGGTGATACCATTTCTTATAATAAAACAATATTCTGCGCAGAAATTTGCCTCCACCTGAAATAGTGGTCGCTATAACTAGTAGTCCCCTTATGATTTGTCTTAGAGTAGACCAAAGGACAAAACATAACTGTCGAGTGATCAGAACTACCGAGTAGCACCCTATTACACACGGAGTATAGCATTGTGTTGCAAACAAATTCCAGGTCCGGAGTCGCATTGGATCTGGTGGGGCAGTTTAGGTTGTCCAGTGTGTGGTGTCAGTTAGTGGTGTCAATTAGTTTAAAAATAGCAGCAAAAAATTGGGGAGCAATCGAGGTATTCTAATACAAACGCGGAAAAATCATCGTAAAATTGCTCTATTTCGAATTCGTGATGTGGTGGGGAAATATAGACGTTACTAGGACCGAGTAATACGCATTCATACATCTTAGCTTGCACCTCAAGACTAAGAGAAGCGAAACAGGCTTCGTAGATATGCACTAGGGAGAGTTTGTGCAGTCGATGACTCCATCTCCATTGTTCCGGAAAGAGCAAGGGCGGCTGACGCGATGGCAATTGAACCCTTCTACTCTTACAACCATCATCAAACTACTCGTGAAGTCAGGACTTGTCGGAGAATGATGCCTAGCTGCAAATTTCCTCGGGAATTGGTGGTACCCGTTATTCATCCATTTCCCTCAGATGTGAACGGATGTTTGAGGTAAATGTGTCCATGCATCTAAGTGTGCTTCAGAAGAGCGACTCTCAATCCAACGCGGAGTTTTCCTGAACAGTTAATTAGTTTCTCGTGAATACGTTAGTTTATCTATTATAACGTGTCCACTGGAAAAGGCAGCTTGTGAGTGCGGAAACACGCAGTAATTTCAACATATCGCGCATACAGGTTGATGAGATAACAAGTGCAGAAGGATGAATAAAAAGCGAAAATGCGATCGTCTCAAGAAAATAAAAGATACGTGTTAATTTCAAAGAAAGGAATCGTACACTGCAGTCAAATTTGAAAATCCTGCCAGAGCAGAGGTACAACAATAACCAAAGGTAGACAAAAACGGTAAAGTAATGAAGGCAGGTAAATAAGCTGAAAGGTCTTCTTGACTGCGAAGGTGAAAGTCCGGCCATTTGAAGCAAGAGATGGAGTGTCACCACTGGGTATTTGACCAAAAACGGTGCATTCACATATTGCATTTATAATTTGGACGTTTCCGGTAACGAAGGTGCTACTAGATCAGGTTTGAGGTCATTATCCGCATACGCATTATCCAAGAGAGAAAGTAAATCAGATTTTCGTACACACTCGAATTCGTCCAACAACCAATGGGGTGCATCGAAATTTCAATAATTAATCTAGCCTGAGCTCCCTGCAGAATGGCTGTCGTGGGAAATCGTCCGCATCAGCAGTAATCCGATACACAGTACGGACGCTACGCTGCCGTGCAACCACCACCAGTCGCACGTTGACTATGGATACTGCGAGGGTCACAGCGTCGTATAAGCTACGTCCGACATTAGCTTAAAATCCACGACTGGCAGATAAAGTTCTCGTCCTTGAAATCTACTGACTCAGCATTTTGTGATGCGAACAGGATGGGAGATGAAAGTAGTGTTGCAAATCGTACAGTCGCAGCATAAAAGAGACAGCTTATCCAGTGGCGAGGTTGGTAATATGCATATTTGCAACGTTGGTCAATGTGCTTGAACAGAGTTGTTTTGAGTGCAGCAGGACATACGATACCAATCCCCGCAGCAGAGTTACGCGTGCGTTCATAATAGCAATCTAAACGGGACTTTCGATTTTCAAGTGTGAAATGGGATAATAATCACAGGATGGCAGTGCACCATTCCATCGGAACATAATTTCACTCATTAAATACCAATTTTGACGTCTGGAGATGATATTCAAATGAGACGGAATTATGATCGGAGAAGATGAAAAATCATCAAACTTATCCAAGTCTCTAGAGGTGCAAACCAGCAAACTGCCACAACTATTCAAACCAGAGTACTTTATGGAGCAATTTCAAGCTACCCTACTTAGTGGCTCTGCTAGTGACACCCAAGGTTGAGCTTAAAAGGCTGTAAGAGTAAACGTTATCGAGGTAAGATGGTACCAAAAGTCTTGAGCAGTAACAAACAACGGCAGCAGAACAGCAATCATTTGAATTGATGCTTCGCTGCGATACAACTAAACTGACCTGGAAAATAATAAATAATAGATGGGAAAAAGTGGGGACCTACAGCAGTAGTTAAATGCTCCGAGCAAACAGGCAGGGGCAAGATGTTTACAGATTGACGATAACATACTGTCACAAATAGGTGGCTATCGTGCAAAGAAAAGGCGGCATCGGCGAAACGGCTTTCTTGCGGCTACCAATGCACCGCATCATAATCAGCCACTACCCGGCAGATAACTCGGCACCAAATACACGTTAAACAGTCAATCAGGCAGCAGCAGAAGCGCCACTGATGCCGATTGTAAGCTACATCCTGTAAAGTCCCGAGCCAAACACAAGCCGAGTCACGTAGACACCAGATTGGAAGGCGAAACAGTATAATGGCACCCAACTTTGTATACGGTATATACCAATTTAACTCTTGACCACCTCGGTGCTGATACAACTCTACATCTGGCAAACAAAACAAGGCTATTCTCGGTAAGCGGTGATCAATTATAAGTATTAAGTGGCCATGCTAACGCAACTGCCACAGCATCATTTGCTGTTCTAAAGAACTAGTTCGAATGTCTTCAAACAATACTTGCCAACGCATACAATCGTTGTGGACACGCTGTAGCAATAAAAGCAGAGATGATCAAAGAGTTGACTTGAAGGTGCTTCACATGCTCAGACTAAAGGGGGTCAACTCTCAATACATGTTCTCAGTCGATTGTATTCATAGCGTATCCTACTTCATCCTTCGT